CTTGAGTCTAGTTTTCAGTTAAATTGATAAAATACAACACAATATAATATTCTTTACGGCACACGAAACAAAAACAAGTCACATAAAAAATAAACAAACATAGGGAGAAAACAAAAGACGGTCTTATTGCTACATTTATTGCTACTGTTTCACACAATTTCTTCCAGACAAACCATAAGAAGAAAATAACAAAGGGAGAAAATTTTATGACTAAGGTGCAGTATGTTGATCTAAAATATGTACTACATAAATAGATAGGAAAAGATGAAAGATAAAGGGAGAAATTAGAGGGAAAGATAACGTTCCTTAACTTGTTGTTTTAAAGAACCTATTGCCTGAGCCCGGTCAATAGATACCGTAAAACCACCACTGTACTTTAAGTTCTATTGAGCACATGCTTCATTATAGGCTGTGTAAAAATGCAACATATAGATATATTACAATGATTATGCCCTCCTTTTGGGTTCAGCACATAATATAAATCATGATAGCCAGGAGGGGCGTGTAAGGGGGTGCAACCCTGTCGTGGAAGAAAATACGCAGGTAAACATAAAAAAATATTTTTATTATTAACGTCACGATATGAATAAAAGTTTATTGCGTCATGATTATGTAGAAACATTGTTCAAAACATTTCAGTGACTTCAGTGTAAAAATGTTGTGATCTGAAACGTCCAAAAATTTAAAACGTAAAAGGATAATTATTTAAAAACGTTAAAGTGAAAAAGTTATTAAGTTTTCACTACGTTCTCGTCGCAAGAAGGCATAATTTGATTTTAATCTAACCACGGTGACATTGATATATTATATATACACTGGCAGCGATCACCGAACGGTGAGAGACACATTGTACCTAAACGTTAAGTTAAAGCGGTCACGTCTAATGAAGTCAACGCTCTGTCTACCTTGAGCCCCAAAAGCCCCAAAAACTTTCAGCTCGAGTTACAAAACCATTTTCAGTGCCTAGAAGACTGCAACACAGTGGACGATATGAATGACAAGTTCGGGGAAACTGTCTTTGCGGAACGAGCTAAGTTCTGCAAGACCCGCCGCAGAAGAACACAAAAACTCTCTGATCATACTATTAATCTCATGGCTGTTGGACAGGAAATTAAGCTGCAGTCTTCAGCACATATGACCGCATATAGGCAACTGAACAGACAGATCTCTTACGCAACTTCATTATATGTCGTATTTAAGAAGCGATAGAACGAAACCAATGATCTAAAATCTTTGGTAGAGATCTATCCGCCAGAAAGAGCCAACTGTCGAAGCTGAACACTGAATGTATTAGCATCGTTTCCGGGACACCTAAGATTTTGAATGGGATTGCGAGGTTCTATGGGCAGCTGTAAACGTCATCGTTTGAGCCACGAGCAATAGTGAGTAACTGAATTCTGTAAGCGGGTGGAAAAACAGTAAGTACTTGAAGTCTTTCAGAAACTCTTTAATTCCGTCTTCAATGATGGCACTACTCCGGAGACGTGAAGCGAAGTGCGGTAGTCTTGTTCTTCAGGAAAAGTGACAACGCTTTATTGAAGAACTATCGACAGATTTAGCTTCTGAGCCGCGTCTACGTGCTGTTTTCGAGTCATATCGAATCGCCTTGCACGCAGACTCGGCGACTGCCAGGTTCCCGTACAAGCGGGTTCCGAAAAGGCTTTAGTACCGTAGACCATATAGATACCCGACAAATTGTACATAAGACAGAAGCGTACAATTGGCCACTTTGTCTTGCGTATGTGGACTATGATTTCTCTTACGGGTCTTGATTCCGTCGAAATTTGGGCGGTGCTACAGTGCTTTCAGCGGTGACAAGTTGATTGTTGGTATTTCCAAACGCAGAGAGGTGAAAGACAGAGTGACATTATATGCCCAAAACTCTTCACCGCTGCATTAGAAGACGTTTTCAAGCTACTGGACTGGAAAAGATACGTTATTAACATCAATAACGACATTACTCATTACTCACCTTCGATTTGCCAACGATATAGTCCTTATGGCAGAATTGCTGGAGGATCTAAGTACTATGCCCAATTACCTCAATAGTGTCTCCCAACGGATAGGTCTAAAACATTTCATGTACAAAAAAAAATCATGTGTAACGTCCTTGTCACACATATGCCGGTAGTTGTTGAGAGCACTACGCACAAAGTTGAGGAGGACTAGGTAAATCTTACTTCGACCGAGAGGTCTATCGACGGATTTAACTTGTCTGGGAAGCGTTCGGGAGATTACGACACATCTCGTCAGGTATACCTCAAAACTTGATTGTACAACCAGTGCGTGTTGCTAAAGATGACTTATGGATCTAAGACGTGGTATTTCACTACTGACCGTATAAGGAAGCTCAAGGTCGCTTAGCGAGTTATGAAGACGGCTATGCTCGGATATTTTCTGCGTGATAAACTTAGAAATGAGGATATTCGTAATAGAACCAGAGTAACCGACATAACCCAGTGGATTAGTAAGCTGAAGTAGCAATGGGCCGGGCATGTAGCTCGAAGAAACGACAACTTCGTCCATGAGGACTAATATGAAATGCCCCCACAGCTACTCATAACTACTGTGCTATATTATAATTATAATAATGTCCTCCAGATGGAATTTTGGCCTCGGGGTCCAGTCTCAACTGAAACTAGCAATTTGCATAGGACAGGATTATAGTGTACGAATATGTGCACTGCACAAGATGCCAAGCATGGACAAACTGGGAGTAATCTTTTAAAATTTTGCGTACTGGTTGATGCATTCTTAAAAAGTCCTGTACCTAATCAAGGGAATTAAAATTGTTAGGAAAATGTAAAGGTTAATGTTTCTTTATGAAGTATTAGTTACATTTTAGATGAAAAATTAATAAGCCGGAATGGATAAAACGGATATTTCTAAAAGCAAAATAATTAAAAAGAGACTTAAAAACATGCAAATATTTAAGAACAACCACTGACGCATTGTATTGTGTACGTAGGTACACACACTAAGAACCGGAAAGCTTTTATTTGAAACGGAACTTTTCACTCATAAAGTAACAAATAAGTTCACCTTTGTCTCGCTTTGTTTAGCTCTCATCAGGAAATGCTTGAAATTGAAAAAAAGTGCATTGTTACAAAGCTAATGGTGGATGGTTACAAAACGACGCTTATAACTTAATATAAGATAAAAATTTATACTAAATTGACGAACAATTTTAATGCTTTAAAAATTGTAAGCCAATATTGGATAGAAAGTAGCAACTTATAAATATCGCAGTTCTTAGGATAATTCTATCACTACTGGAAAATAAGTTTTAAAGGAAAGTCTACAATAAGTCAGCATAACCAACCAATCTCAAGCATACTACTCCATAACTTCAAGATACTATAAGCACGTTCATCGTAAATCCGATTAAAAATTAATGTTTAAAACGAATAGTTTTTACGGATTTTATCGCGTATATTAACTTATTTTATATTCAGTCAGCCACAGTTGAGCGTGCGCCTGCTGTACTGCCATATTTCAGAGGTGTCACTGACAGATATGCTACATCTTGAGGCATGCTTCCATTAAAAATTCAAGCCGCCAAAGAACATTAGTCAGTTTATATCATCAGTCAAATGTACTCATAATATCCCATGATGCAAGATGATTGTGAATGTGGTCTCTCTTACATAGGACAAACTAATAGCCCAATCAAAACCCGCGTTAAAGAACACACAGCTTATGTGAAGAATCGACGCTCCGGGAAGTCTGTGAACACGTACGGAGTCCAGAAATCAGAAGCCTCCGTCACTACACCAGATTTAATAGACCACAAATCCTCGCTAAAACACCGATTCCTTTCGAAGATGATTCGCGAGGCAATTCAAATCAAAAAACATCCTAATTTCAATACAGAAGATGGCTGAGTGCTGCCATCTGCTTGTGGTCCAATAATCAATAAAATTTAATTCTTACCCAATCATACAACTGCAAGAATTCAAGATACTATAAGTTCATACTGCTTAGATCAGAGTAAGTTAATATATGCGATAAAATCCGTAAAAACTAGTTTCATTTAAATGTTTAGTGTTCGCGTAAACATAAGAAATCTTTTATATTTAAAAGTTGAAGGTAGCCGTCGTTAATTATGACATTAGGACGAGAAACACTCAGTAAATCTCCTTCTCCCTCATTGACCAGTGCGTGCTGTAGTTTCTGAAACGTCGGCAATTAAAAAAGTTAAAATTTAACGTAATAAACTCTGTAAACTTGGTTCTATTACAATTAACCACTCCAACTAAGTTTAAAATACTTGTGCTGGTGGATTTAATTTCAATTTCATTGCAATGCTATTACGTATTAATGGACACACTCACACTTTCACAATACCTTCGAAATATTTGTAAATTTTCTGACGTGCGAATTTCCTCCGGAAGTTTTATTTCACCGCTGAGCACTTGAAAATCACTAAATAACATTTGGAAATCTGATTTTCTCGAATTCTAATTCAGGTAACTTCGCATTCTACGAAATTTAAGGTACTCCTAGAACTCTCATGGCTATTTCATTTAAATATATTCCATGTGAAAATAAAGAAACTTATAAAGCATTAAGAATTTACCTAATGATTTAGTTAAGAAAGTTATACAAAATTTTAACTCAATAAACTCAAAACAATTGTTTTAACGATTAATGCAAAGTTAGTTTCATTAAAGTGAAGTAATTCTACGAAAATGGAACAACAACAAACTTTTAGGTAAACGTTGAGATTATGTTTGTATAACTACATATTCATAGATCTTTATATCCGTCTTTAATGTGAAGTTCTTAAATAAATAAAAATATATTAAACGTACAAAAATAAATAAGATAGCAACCGGAGCTATCCTATTTAAATGAAAATGTAAGCGTAGGAAAACGTATCAGAGTATCGTGAGTCTGTGGCTATCTCGGTAACACTTTGTTTTGGAAAGCACCGCGAGCGGTTGTACTTGTGCTTTCCTCTCCGTTCCACTAAATTTAGCTTGCGAAACTAAAATAACATGTCGCTAATATTAAAAGTCGTGCTAATTATTATTCCTATAACCGTGCGATGCGTGAATATAAACACTAATCCTCGCGTGAAAGATAATAAAGAATTAAGCCGTGCGTACAATGTAAACAATTTAAGACACGCGATTTGTAATCAATTAATAAATTCGAAACCGCATAAGTGTCGCATTGATTTATTGTGGCGTTGCTTGGATAAATTGAAACAGTGGAAGAAACGAAGAAAAATAAAAAACGTGATCATTGTTCTGATAAAGGCAAATGTCAAAAATTTACGATTTAAAAGAAGTTTCGATGCCACAAATGAAACTTTCATTCTAAATTCGTCAAGTACGTCAGAGATATATACAGATAACACAAATAATTCATCATCCATAGTTGAAAAATTCAAAGAACAGTGGCCGGTACATTTTTGGCGGCGCTATGGATTGTTTACTGACGAATACCTGCTACTAATAAATCCGCATTGGCTGCAGTTTTCCCCACCTGCTCCAGTTATCCACTACACACTTGGAAGCATCTATATTACCATGTTAGCTGCAGGCTGTTCAGGGAATATGCTGGTGCTTTACATGTATTGTAGGTTAGTATAGATAAAATTTCATTAAAATCTAAGCCTAATGCGAAATATGTGTTTGAATTTATATTTAAAGCAATAGTAGGCACAGAACACAATTACTCTTTATATAGTAGGTATATGTCAGATTTGACGTTATCTTATTTTTGCATAGAACAGCATAAATTAAAAAAGGTGCGGGCAGGATAAAAATATTTATGTAATTTTCAGACAAAAATAACTCATTTATTTCCTGTAATAATAAAAGTAACATAACTGCCTTTAACCTTAACTCCTTTTATGTTCGGTACTCAAAAACTACAATTTTGAAAACAGTCTGTTTGTCTGTAACAGATGATTTTCTCAATGATATTTAATGTAGAAGTTTGAGTTTCGGTATAATCTTTACCGAAATACAAACGTGACGTTTTCAGTGTCAAAGGTGCGAGACGTCTGGAACCACAGTCCTCCTAAGTCCATTAAATCCTCCCCACAAAGAATACGGCACTATTAATTTATTATTACAAGTAGGTAAAAAATGCTTTAAAAGAAATATAATTATTATTATTATTCTAAACGTGTTTTGCTGAAACGAATATTTTTCGACCTAAAACAATGTAATAAATTAAACAAGCGTATTACGTAACGTTTTCAGAGCATTTGATTAATTTATCGTATATGATATTTCTCGAGTATCTCATACGTTTAACGTTCTAGTGTGAGATTGTAGCTTCTTTTTTATCAAATTTTCCGAAAATTCCAATATATATAGAAAGGTAGGAAGGATTATGTTAGCATCTATGTTAGTTCGGTCACATATACTTAGTAATAAATTATATACACAAGAATTATTAGACTTCATAAACACAATATTAATTTGAACATTTTGCAGTAAACGTCGTCCATAAAAATAAAATTACGTAATCGATAATTAATAGACACATAATTACTGTAATTACAAAGCATCTTAGTCAGAAGGCTGTTATTATTATTTGCTTATAATCATATTATGTTTTAACGACTTTTTTATTAATTTGATATTATTTAACAGAGTCGCTGGAAGACCTTAGCAATACTTTCCATAACCTAAGTATCGTAGAGCCTACTACGTCCCACTCCTGGGCACAGGCCTCCTCTTATTTCTGAGAAGGTTTTAGGGCTAGAAAAAGTCCGCCGCGCTCCCCAATGCGTGTTGGTGGACTTCACATGACTTCTATTTTTTTAATTTCTAAGACATGCATTTTTCCTCACGATGTTTTCCTTCATCGTAGAGCACGTGGTAAATCAGCACTTCAAATTATAATTAACAATTTCATTGGTGCCGGCGGGGTTCAAACCCGGGGTGCTAGCGTAGTGTGATATTTACAGCGAGCGCTTAGACCCCTTTTTTATACGTGGGGAAATTCTCATGGATACCCGTAAAAGTGACAGACAGGTTATACCGGACTCCTGTCGGCTAAAACCCTACGGTGTTCGTCGGAGCTACGGGAAGGGTTTCGCATACTACCGCAGCCCCGGCGGCTATAGAACTTACAAGGGCCGTCTAGATGACGGAGTAGAGCTGGAGTCCCCGACTCCTTCTTTATGTAGGGGCGCAAGGGAAACACCGTTATCGCCACCTTTATGCCTTACCTAAAAGCCGTCGGACAACCCCTCGTGTCCGCCTCCTGAGCCTTAGTTATGCAAGATTAGTTAGCCTCAACCTCCTTCCGCGGCATGAGTGCTTATCTAAACAACCTAAGTTGCGTCGCCAAAATGAACATTGTCAAGATGATTTGCATGTCTAACACCCATGTCACACCTAAATCAGTAGTTGATAGTAAAATTCATAAAAATCAAAGCTATGCTACGAAACTCTTCCTCTCTCTTCGCTTAATGACAATAGAAAAAGACAGTTATATAGATAATATATACTTACCAAAAACTTATCCTAAAAGAAAATATCGAGATCCTAGAAACAAACTAAATCAACAAAGACGGGAGCATCAATCATTTAAATCCAATCAGAAAAACCAAGTCAGAAATCAATAAACCCAATATTATCACAATCCAGTATGAGTAGGCGATATAAATCGTATATAGATACAATCTCTTTATATCGGGCGACAGACTAACTATTTAATAAATACCGCTGGAATACAAAATCACCTTACAGAACATCTAACGAACTCGATGAAATAATAATAACGTAAAATATTCATAATACACTGATTCGAAGTTCGAACGAACCATGCGAGATATTTGGTACCAGAGTATCATGGAACTATCCAATACATATTAATGTAACTACACAGATTTTACAATATATGTACCTATACCTACCTATACATATAATCACGCCTCTTTCCCGTAGGGGTAGGCAGAGACCACTTCTTTCCACTTGCTACGATCCTTACATACTTGTTTCGCTTCGTCCACTTTCATTATTCCCTTCATACGTGCTCTACGGTTTAGGGTACTCTTGACCTGGCCTTTTTTCAAGACGTCCCTGATTTGGTCTAGAAATGTCCGCCTAGGTCTACCCCTTCCAACACTTTCATTCACACTCGCCTTATACACTTTTTTCGTCAATCGTTCTTCATTCATTCTCTCGACATGGCCAAACCATCTCAGCACCTACCTATAATTCATTTTTTAGGTTTATGTTATTAATACTGTATATACTTTCATATGCATTTAGTAAAAAGCTGTAATTTTGACATTATAAACAGACACTTCAATTTTATTTATTTGTATAGATGCGGCAGTAGCGCGCCGGGTACCAGCTAGTCTAATATATAAAAATAATGTTTGTATGTTTACCATTCATCAGATTGCGGTAAAACCTTGTGAACTTATTGTTTAAACTTGAGCAAAGATTAAAAACATTGTACAATTAAGTTACAATAGGAAAGTTATATACCATTCAAATTTAATGAATGTATGATCATTCCTAATTAAACAATATACATAACTCTTCCAAATTTAAAGCGATATTTCCACAATTATTTCGTCTGCGGCTGCAACGCATCGGGTACCAGCTAGTTATCTTATAAAGATATATTAAAATGTTTCGAACAAAACTTTTTGATTTGCAATTATACACAATAAAGGCACTAACACTTTATCTGCTATCAAGTTTTAATGCAAAATCGATTCTTAAAAGCCGTTACAGGGTTAAATGATAATGATATCTATCCTACAGGAACCAATCTTTTTTCCTGGATGAAGGTGGTAGGGTCGTATGGCCGTCAGTCGTAGGTGGTTATTTGTGAAAACAGTTAAAAACAAAATTTCGTATAAAATTTTAGGCAGTCATGTTTTGGTGACGTTGATCATCCCAAAGGAATAACCAATATTTTCGGTTTAAAAATTAGCCATTGTGTAAAAACATTTCATTACTTTATTGTACAGGATATAACACACATCCATCCATCCAGCTATTCCGAATTTAATTTTTAGTTAAACCGTGAAGAAGTAACAAATATACACACCCACTCAGAAACTTTTGCATTTATAACATCAGTGTGAAGTTTATCACACATACGTAAAGATCTAATATTCATAAATATCATAATATGTATTACATTACATTACATTATTATGTAATACAGTATGATTATTATATTCTATAATATTACAACAGTGGCTTCTTGGAGCTTCTAACTAATATAAGAATAGAAATAACTGGCGGTATCGCTTGAAAGCTACCCACGTGACTAATTTATGTAGACCACATCTATGAAGTTTCAAACTCAACTCTGTATAATATTAACCAAAGTATTCTAATAACCAAGGCATGCTACATTTAGCAAATTCTGAGATTTTATTGTCATGAATACTTCAAGCGAAAATTATTAACATCTCTGTATTATTATATCTTCCTGTGCCATTTTGATCAGGACACTTAATTCTGGTTATAATCTGACTTCCCGCTTCGGTGTTTACCGTTCGTTCAGTTTTTTTTTTGGCGTGTACCAATGCAATGCAAGTCTTGCAAGACCTAATTTCTTTAGTTCAGTGCCGAAACCTACAACCCTACATCTTCAATAAATTACAAGAACTGCTGAGCTGTATTAGTATTTTCACTTCCATCTGGTCTTAGTAATTAGTTCCCCAGATAAATAATACTTACAATACGTGGCGCATTACGAAATCGCATTCACTTAGAATGTGCAAACATGTTTCTTTACTCAGGTGTCAAAATCTGCACACACTTGAATTGTTTAGTCCCAAAAACACGTGCTTTTTAAGCAACAATGTTCATTCAGGGTTCTTAACAAAATGGGTAGTTCGATCTGACTTAGTCTTAGGTCTTTTGAAGCGAGTTTACGATTTTAAGTTCCTACACCAGAATTCAAGTCTTGAAATGATTTAAGCCTGGTGTTTAGATAGCTTTAAGTGATTTTTCATGGTAAAGGATTTTGTAAGTCAATCCAATCAGACATTTAGAGATTCCACAAAACGGACCAGAGCGGTCCAAATTGTATTTCTCTTTAATCCCTCCCGTACCTATACGGGCCTTGTTCAAGAAAACTACACCAATCGCAGAAACTATCATCAATGCGTGTGCGTTGCCGACATCCTCGAAGATAGAAACTGAACCATTGTACAATTGATGTTAAATTAAGGCATTTCGTGATTGCTAACAAAATGTCATAGTCAAATAATTTAAAAGCATTACTGAAGTCTAAGATGTCCAAATTATTTATTATTTATATAGGTTATCAATAGCCTAGGAATGATATAAAGTGGTCGGAAGCCAAACTGTAAAGGATTTAAAAGTTGTTTATGTTTAAAAATTTTTTTTTTATAATAACTTTGTTTGATATATTATATTTTCAAGAAAAAGGAAAGAATAAATATTGGCTTACAATGGCTGAAGTTAGTAGGAGAGATTCAAATAAAACTTGTATTTACGGATTTATATTCCCGACGTTTCGAGCACTTTACAGCACCCATGGTCACAGGGGGGACTAAGGTGTTCGACGTCCCAATGACATAGTTAACCACGGCTACCTCCAGTTGAATTATAATTTTTTGGTACG